CCAAGATGGTTCAATATAACCCAATGGGGCTTCCAAGATACTCTAATATACCCCAAGGCAGTCCCAAAGCTGTTCCAAGTGTCTTTCGAGCCTTCCTGGGCACCCTGGAGTCAACACTGCTTCAAGTCCACCAGAACTGGTTGCCTTCTCGCCGTTTCGCTTAGGATTGGCCTTGCAGACCTCAAGGTGGCACCAGGATGGCCCAATAGCCCCAAGAGGGGGCCAAGAGATCCCCATGAGAGCTCCAAGAGCGCCCCACAAGGGGCCCAAGAAGCACTTCGCCTGCCTCCGAGAAATTACCCTTTCCTGTTCGAGGCATGGGGCCCGAGATCGCCCAACAAAAGTCACTAAGAGGGCCCCACGAGGCTTCCAACATGGCGCCAAGCCATCTCCAAGAGGAATCGAAAGGAGCCCCCCCCCAAGAGGCTTGCAAAGCGACGTGTCAGCGATAGCCCGCATGCTTCTACACTACGCTGATCAAAACAGATCGCCTGGCGATCGTCTCTGGATGGGATGGTGGGAATACGTGAGGCGCCAAGAAATGCTCCCCCGCTCTTTGGTTGATGTTCCCCAAGATGGCAACATAAACGGGCCACCCAGCCTTCCAGACGAGCCCCAAGGAACCCCCAAGATGGCTTCGAAAGCTTCTAACATTACCCCAAACTGGTTGCAAGAGGCGTCCAGGAAGCTCTCGGGGCGTCTGGGAAGGCCTTCATGGTTGACTCCCACCGTCGTCGACTTCTTTCTACCCCGATCCTCCTCTTCCTCCTCTTCTTCACGGATCGCCGGCCATTGAGTGGAAACGTGGTCCGTCACATTCCTCTTCCCAGCTACTCGCCTTCCAATTCCTCCTCTCTCTCCCTCCCCCTCTTTCTCTCTCTCTCTCTCTCTCTTTCCTCCTCCTCCTCCTCCTCCCCATTCGAGAAAGCCTCGGCGGCATGCGTGCTTTGCTCCTGCGTCTGCTGAGGCTGGCCCCGGACTTCGGTTTGACAACTGCTGCAGCGTATGGTGCTGCACTCCTGATGCATACAGCTCGCCCTGGGGACCGCGCTGGGATGGGCTGGAGGGAGTACGCGAATGAGGAGGAGGAGAAGGAGGAGGAAGAGGGGGAGGAGGGTGAGCAGGATGAGGACGATGAGGAGGAAGAGGGGGAGGAGGAGGAGGAGGAGGAGGAGGAAGAGGGGGAGGAGGAGGAGGAGGAGGAGGAGGAGGAGGAGGAGGAGGAGGAGGAGGAGGAGGAGGAGGTATGGAGGAGGGATGAGGATGAGGTTTGATGAGGAGGAGGAGGGGGCAGGGAGGAGAGGAGGGGGGCGGAGGAGGAGGCGGAGGAGGAGGAGGAGAAGGAGGATGAGGAAGAGGGGGAGGGGGAGGGGGACGTCAATAATTCTCAGGCCAGCTCACTTGGAATATGCGGCGGGCCCCTGGCAAGGCTGTCTGCGAGCGCCGCGTGTTCGCGAGCCAGACAAGCATTGGATGAGGTCGCGCGCAGCAGCCGACAGCAACGCAGGGTGATCTACCACAGTACACTGCACAATCTACTGGCGATAAGGGCAATTCGAAACTGCACTCGCGTTCAGGAATCTCGACGGACAGGCAACTGGCTATTGCTGTGCTCCTTTTGGCTCGGTCACTCTGTAATGCCAAACGGCTAAATCATGTTCAACGCTCTGGAAGAACGCAGCTCAAGCCAGCCTGCCTGAGCGATCTTAGTATCTGGGTACAGTCTTGGAAGTATGCTCACTCTGTGGCCGCAAATCACACTGGATTACGTCGTGGCCAATGGGTAAACACAGCGGTGATGACGGACGATTGTCATGGTGTATGTGCATCGGGATGTAGTGGGAGATGCGGGGACGACTTATACACGAAGGGAGACGCCCATGATGACAACATCCATGTATATATACATACATATATATACGTTAGATAAACATATCGCGTTCGGGACATATGGGTATACATCATACATGTATGTACTTACTGCGCGATGCATTGCATGGCCACCTATATACATATCTACACACAAAGGCTGCATTGGCGCTTCGCGCCACGCATCGTGGTCTTTCAAATTTGGCATGAAGCAATGACTCCCTGTTGCCTTCTCCGACGTCGTCGTTATCATAATGTAACTGTGTCTCCTCTCCTCGTGTCTCCTCTTCCTCTTCTTCATTATCTCCCTAACCTGCGACTTACTCCCCATCCTCCTCAGCTCTTTTTGCGTAGGCTCCTCCTTGGAGAGTCTCTAGGGGGTCTCACGGGAGTTTTTAAGTGCTTCTCGGGGCCTTCCCAAGGTATCCTGGGCGCCTTCTGGGGGCCTCTGGGGGCTTTTTCGAGCCACCTTGCTTCCAACTGTGGTCTCCCTGGCCACGAGTTGGAATACTTGGGGGGGCCTCTTCGGGTTATCTTGGGCCTTCATAAGGGGCTCTCTTAGGGCCATCTTGGGGCCTTGTTGGGCTGTTTGGGGGCTCTCTTGGACTGCCTGGAAGCCCTTTCGGATAAATTTGAACCGGTTTTCTGGCCTCTCGGACGGTTTCGGGCGCCCGGAAGACCGACGAACAGAGCATTTCCAAACTCATGCAAGAATGATGGGACATGTATGTGCCCCCTTCCGAGTCTAGATGATGCTGGTGGTGTGGCGGGTGGGTGGGGGAAATAACGTACTATGTTTGATGTGATGATGTTTCCCCCTCCGCCCCTCCCTCTCAGGTGGGAGCGGGGAGTGGGGAGGATGAGGATGAGGATGAGGATGAAGATGATGATGATGATGATGATGATGATGAGGAGGAGGAGGAGGAGGAGGAGGAGGAGGAGGACGAGAATGAGCTGCTGCTGCAGCTGGGGCCACTGCTGGAGATCGTCCGCAAGGATGCTTGCAGTCAGGGGCCCTTTGCGAGCATTCCTTCAGTGAAGGGTGCTTGGAAAATTTTGCTGTTGTGCTCGTTCGTTCGTATAGGCACCTTTTATCAAGGGGCCCTTGGTAAGAATCCCCTTGCTGGGCGCCCTTGGCGAGGAAGTCTTTGGCACATATTCGTTAGTCAGGGTGCTTTCTTATCAAAGAGTCCCTTGGGCGGGTAAGAATGCCTTCAATGAGTGCTTTTTCTTAACACGGATGCTTGTAGTAAGGTCCATGTAGTGATGAGCCTTTCGTGAGGATCCCCTCAATGATAATATTTGCAATGCTGGTTATTTGCCACGACTCCCGGTAGTAAGGGATCCTTCAGAAGGATGCGCTATGTCAGGTGTCCTGGATAAGGAGTTATTTCGTAAGGCGTCCTTAGACGGGAGGAAACAGGTACGAGGGGCGTACGGACGACCACGGGTGTGTTTTTCCTTGCCTGTGTTATCATTCGTGCGTGTTGTATGTTGTGTATGTACCCTGCGCGATCAACAAACAGCACCTTCGATGCAACCCTGACATCACGCAAGCGAGGCGTAATGCCATGACAGGGGACATAACTCTTGCAACTGACACAAGGACCCTGCGTCCCCCCCAGCGGATCTCCAACTCAGCTGCACCGCCGCGGCCAATGCTGGAGCAAGCTTTGCCCCACCTCAAGAGGAGAACAACAGGTCAAACGAAGGATGATAAGTCGCAAGCGTGGATAATGTGGTGCTCTCAAAAAGGAGCAGGGCAATGTCAAGGGGAACGCGCGCACAATATAATGACGCTGGCGCAATACACGGGTGAGGTCCAAACTATAGCTGATTGGCCATTGGGCGTCACAATCGGGGCATAGCAGCCGTGGCTACAATGCTACGTGCAGCACAGCGTTCTTAGATAATGCATGCATCACTGTCGTAACTGGAAATGTTCAATCTCACGATCGCACGTGCGAGCGACGGGGCACGCCGGTCATCCAAGAAATGACGACGAGGCACCTCGGCCCCCTCCACTCCTGCTCACTGGCCCTCTTCTCTCGGCCTCCCTACTCTGGTACTTTAGCCTACCCTTCTCTTTCCCCTCTCGCCCTCTCTTTTTTTCTTTCTTTATTTCTCTCTCTCTCTCTGTCTCTCCCCTTCTATTGTTTCTCTATCTCTCTCCCTCTCTGTATTTAATACTATAAGCCCCTCGCTCTTGTCCTATACTCTCTCCTTTCTCCTCTCCACTCTCTTCTCCTCTCTACTCTCCTATCTCCTCTTCTGTCCTTATCCTCTCTTTCACTGTTCGGTGGTCTCATGTGATCTCATTTAAAGTGCACCTCTCGCCTCCCTCATCCCCTGCTCTACTATCCTCCTCCCTTGTCAGATCCTCGCATGTTCTATCTGTCTCTCTCTCTCTCTCTCTGTCTCGTTTTCTCTCTTTCTAAATCACTTTCTTTCTTTCTTTTTCTCTCTGTCTCTCTCTCTGTGTTTCTCCCCCTCCTTTCCGCCGTCCTAGCAAGCCCTCTTCTCCCTTCTCCTCGCCTCGCATCGCGTCGCGTCTCCTCCGCTCTCCTCACACAACCTCTTCCTGCTCATCTTTCTGTTCCTGCTGCGCCTGCGCCTGCACCTCCTCCTTCTCCTCATAGATGCCATACCCGTCCTGTCCTCGTCCGCTCCTCTCCCCCCTTCTTGTCTCGGAAGGGGGTGCGGGAGGAGGACGAGGAAGGAGGGGGGACGGGACGAGGGAGGATGTCGCTGCTGCTGCTCCTTCCCCATCGACTGAGACCCAAGTCGAGACACTGTGTTCAGAGAAGCAACAAGTGTGCTGCCTACGGAAGACTTCGAAGCGAGCGTTGCTCGTCAAGTCAACGGGTTTTTGTCGCTTGTGTGCGTGTGTGAAATATGTGCTGTTTGTTGCCGTAACACTCTTGAGCATCTACGATATTGCACTTCCAAGCAAACTGGGCGAAAGTAGGTATCCTCCTAAAACATCCGCTCTGCTCTTTCTCCCTCAAACGGTCCCCTTCCTATGCGAAGAAGGCAGGATGAGGAGACTCAGCTAGATTCGGAAAGTCATGCATCCTAGAGAGACCTTGCGGGCCTGCAGGATCAATCAGGCGACGCAGCGTTTCCAGAGTGTTCCAGAACACCCTGAGAGCGTTCTGGGACGCCCTGGAGTGATTTAGATATCACCATGATAGAGCTGATCGATCCTCTTCTGGGCCATCCAATATTTTCCATACCGATGCCTTCCGCCCCTTTTGACAGAAGCTCTCAAAGGGAGCTGGATCAGCATCCCAAGCAACACCTCCCCCAAAGGCTAGTGTACAGCACAAAACGGTTCTGTCTGTGTTTGTGTACGTGAGCTTCCAGCCGCGTGCAATATACACACACATCTATATATATATATATATATATATGCATGTGTGATGGCGCGTGCGTGTGCATGCTGGCACATTACGACGCGAGTGCGCCTGTTCTGGCATTCTGGCGTGCACGTCCAGAGCCCGCGTGCAGTGTGTGAACGGATGCATAAAACAAGCACGAAGTGGGCACGTTAAGCCAACGTCGACGAGCCGGTACCGGATCTGCTCCTGGGCGGATTGCATGGCAATGCGTCATCGATTGCGAAGCTTGTGCTTCCTCTACAACTGCTGCTGTCCTCGCTTGCTCGCTGGTGCCGTTGCTGCTTTTGTGCTGTTCGGTTTGATAGCTGGACTCGCGGGATGCCTTGACGGTGCACCCTGCGTGGCGGTGTGAGGGGACCGATGACTGACCAAAAGGTGGGAGTTACGACCGAACTGTGCAAACCACCATCAGTACAATACGACGGCCTGGTGCGGAGAGAGGGGGGGGCGCGAGGGAGGAGAAGGAGGAACAGGAGGATGAGGACACGGAGGGATCTAGGATGATGCATGGCTGCTGCCTCCCACCGTTCTCGCCACCAACAGAGAACGAGGCCGGGCCAATGCCTGAGAGAAATCGCGCAACGTGTAACACGCTTAGCCTCTGCGCCGGCCTGGCATGGCCTGAATGGACTGTGCCCGACATGCACGATATGCACCGTGGCCATCTGCCATATCGTTGCCTCGCTGGCTCCCTATGGTCCCATGCATTAGGTACACACGATAAGACACCTTACTATGAGGAATCTCGGGGCACGTTCTTCCTCGATTTTGAAGGTCCTGCGGTGCCGCAGATATTCTGTGGATCCCTGGGGCCATCGGGAGATACGAAACTTCAGCTGGGAACCTGCTGGCACGCCGGCGTCTTATTCGACGCGCCTGCGTGTAACGATTCAGGTGACGCTCGCTCCAGCGCGGCACTCTTTCAAATTGGTCCTCTCTTCAGCTCCTTCTGGCTGGTGCACATGTGTCTACTGCCATCTGCCACGCTGGCCAGCAAGATGAGAGCGCTCCATGTTTTTGACTAGGTCGTCCAGAACCTTCTCGCGATTGGTGTCCTGACCGCGCAGTGAGCATAGAATCGGAGGATGATGGTGACGAGGAGTGAAGAGGGAGGGCGGGAGCGACTCTCGGCTCGTACTTTGGATTATCAGTGATACCTCACTTAAGCGGTAAGGGCTTGAGTGAAATATTGGTTTCTAACATTCCTGTGTGTGGGGCCCTCGTTTTGAATTCGCAGCACCGTGCCCCAGCTCCTTCCCACCTCCCCCTCCTCCTCTCCTCTTCCTCCTCACTCCTCCATCCACTTCCTCCTCATCCTCCTCTTGCATCTTCCCAATGCCACCATCCTCATAACCATCTCCATCACCATCTTTATTCCTTTCGCAATGCTCATGGACCCTAGTTCGTGCATGTTCACGCTATTGCCTGGCTGAGCCAGTTCAGGCCTGCCTCTAATGCTAGCGTCTCGGCCTCAAACGCGGATGTGATGCCCCTCAGAAGAGCACCTGCACGATGTATCGTGTTGTAGCTGTAGCGGCCGTCCGCGTGCTGCTCTGCTTCCATGACAGCAATGCCGACGGCGCCCGTCCGATCTGAACGCACCATCACCATTACCTTCAGCATCATCCTCACCATCACCATCACCACCATCATCATCATCACCACCATCATCATCATCAGCATCATCATCGTCATCATCATCACCAGCACAAGCACCAACACCAACACCAACGCCATTACCATCACCATCACCATCGCCGTCATCGGAATCAGCACCAGCATCAGCGGCAGCAGCATCATCAGCAGCATCATCCTCGTCACCATCGTCATTATGATTTTGGCGTGCCCGTCGCACGTTTGGTGTTCCCACAAGGAGCTCCACCGAAGGCCGCAGTGGCAAGTTCCGCATGATTACCATCCCCATCTTGGCGCACCCCTCACACGATTCGTAGCCCCATGAGGAGCTCCGCCGCAGGCCCCAAGTGGCAGGGTCCGCGGGGTTACCCGCCCCACCTCTGGCTCCCCTCGCACGTGCTGTGGCCCAAGAAGGAGCTCCGCCGATGGCCCCAGTGGCAGGGTCCGTGCGGTTACCCGTCTCCGTTTCGGCGCACCCCTCGCACGTTTCGTGGCCCCACGGGGAGCCCCGCCGAAGGCCCAAGTGGCAAGGCCCGCGTGCTTACCCGCCCCGTTTCGGCGACCCTTCACACGTTTCGTGGCCCCATGAGGAGCTC